GATTACACCAGGCATGGCTTACATTTTCTTTTCAACGGGAAAAGAAAATTATGTAGGGTTTTAGCTAACGAGTTGTTGAGTGTCAAGGCTGTGGCGGGAATGAAACCTTCCGTTTCTAATTCCTTTCGTGCCTAAAGCTGATACAAAATTTTCAATTTTATTTCAAAATATACAAAAACTATCCAATAAACTTAATCAATTAGAAGTAGTTATAGATAATTATAAACCCCAAATATTATGTTTTGCTGAACACTGGTTAAATAAGTCGGATCTTGAATTAATTAAAATTAAAGGTTATAATTTATCTTCTCATTTCTGTCGAACTCAATACGGCCACGGAGGTGTGTGCATTTTTGTAAGTGATTTCATTCGTTCTAAACCCGTTTATACTAATACTCTTCAAGTAGAAAAACTTTTTGAATATTGTGCTGTTGAAATTAATCTCTCAAATGACGTCGTGTGTCTTATATGCGTTTATCGATCACCTGACCAGAATGTTGATATGTTCATCTCGCTGATGTACGAATTGATTCATAACCTTTTTGATAAATATTCCAAAATCATTGTTTGCGGCGATTTTAATATACACTTTGATAAGCAATCGAAGCCATCCATTGAATTCAATTTGAATATGCAGTCTTTTGGTTTAACGCGTACTATACATGAACCTACTCGGTTTTCGCATCAATCTTCTTCTTGCATTGATAATTTCTTCACCAATTTAAAAGACTTTGATTCGCGTGTTATAAATACCACTCTTTCAGACCATCGAGGCATAATATTAAATTTTTGTAATTTTTCAACTTCTAAATCTACCTTTATCTTACACAAACGTTATTTTGATGAATCAAATAAATTGATTTTCAAATGTCTTTTGGAAAAGGAATCATGGACCTTGCTTAACAAGTCGAAAGACTCAAATACAATGTTCGACAACTTTATTTCTACATTTTTATTCAACTTTAATCAAGCTTTTCCTCTCATTAAGAAAACCGTTTGCCCAAAAAATAATACTTCAACTCCTTGGCTAACTAAAGGGTTGAGAATTTCACTTAAAAGATTAGCATTTCTTGAGAGATTATCGGTACATAATGATAACATGGCTTTTATAATTTATTTTTTGAAATATAGGGCAACTTTAAATGATCTAATCAATTTAGCGAAGATCAAATATAACGAAAACTTGATTTTTAATTCAGCTAATAAACAGAAAACAATTTGGTCCTTAATTAACTCGGAAATCAACACGAAAACTAAATCTTCACAGATTGATTGTCTTACAATTAACGGCGACAAGATTATTGATAAGGTAGTCATATCTAATAAATTTAATCACTTTTTTGTCACCGAAGCGTCTAAATTAACAAGCGCAATCAACTCGACCACCACTAATTCGACTAAATCTTTATCCGCGCGAAATAATTCTACATTCGTTCTTTATCCTGTAAATTTAGAAGAACTAAAGCAAACCTTTCTATCGATAAAAGTTACTAGTTCAGCGGGTCCGGATCAGATACCTAGTCTTATTCTTAAAGAATTCTATCCCTTTTTCATAGATAAATTTATGTTATGTTTAAATAAATGCTTCGATGAAGGAATATTTCCATCGCACCTCAAGCATTCAAAGATTTTTCCACTTCATAAGAAAAATAATAAAGACGATATAAATAATTACCGTCCCATTTCCCTCTTGAACTCTTTCGATAAAATAATTGAAAAAATCTTGCATACTAGATTAACGTCTTTTCTCAATAAATATAATATTTTGTTCAAGAATCAGCATGGTTTCCGAAAGAACCATTCCACTTCCCACTCAATTTATAATTTAGTTCATAACATCATTGACTCCTTCGAAGAAGCCACATATTGTACTGCGATATTTTGCGATCTGTCCAAAGCTTTCGATAGTATTTCTCATCAAAGACTTCTTGACAAATTAGAAAATTGTGGTATTCGCGGACGTTCGCTCAAACTATTTAAATCTTACCTGTCTAATCGAACACAAAGCGTTTACTTAAATAACGATCACGAGCAAATAATTTCGGATAAATTGACAAGTACATTGGGAGTGCCCCAAGGATCAATTTTAGGGCCTCTCTTATTTCTCATATATATTAATGATTTACCTCATTGTACAAATCTTTGTGATTTTATTCTTTTTGCGGATGATACCAGCGTTATCATCAAGGCCAAATCTCTTAATGAATTACAACATAAATTAAGCGTGGTTATGTCAGAAATAACGAAATGGTTTTGTGAAAATAATCTAGTCCTCAATAATGATAAGACCCAAATCATATCTTTTTGTACAAAAAATCGTTTATCCAATAATATTACTTCTTTAACTATCAATAATTCAGCATATAATTTTTCGCAAGTATCAAAATTTCTTGGTATCCATATTAATAATAATTTAAAGTGGTCTGATCATATCTCTATCTCACTATCACCAACTTTATCTAGAACATGTTTCATGTTGCGCACCCTAAAACCCAAACTTGGTTTAAATTGCTTACTTTCAGTTTATTATAGCAACTTTTATTCTCACGTTTCATACGGCATTCAATTCTGGGGTTTTTCATCCGAACTAATTAAAATATTTAAGCTTCAGAAAAGAGCTATTCGAATAATTTTTTCCTTGCCTAGTAAAGCCTCCTGCAGACCCATATTTAAAAAATACAATATTCTAACTGTCCCATGCATTTTTCTGCTGGTAACATTAACTTTCATCAAAAACAATTCGAAACTTTTTGATATGGCTTCGTCCTCCTCAAACTACAACACTAGACACAAACTTATTAAGGCGCGCACATATAAATTAGCCAGGTCTTTCAATTCGATCGACGGTCTAGGTATTCAGCTTATGAATAAACTTCCACTCAATATCCGAAACCTAGACAGCAAAAAATTTCATGCTTCCCTAGTTAAACTTTTTAAAGACTTAGCTTTTTATGACATTACTGAATTTTCTCAATTTGATTTCAATAACTATTTTCTTGCATAATCCTTATCCTTTATCTATGTAGTCTGACCATTTGATCGCCTGTACAACCATATATATTTTTTATTTTTTTATTGCTATTTTATTAATTTAAATTTTTCACGGTTTTTAATGAGTATAACTTTCAAACTTGTGCAAGAATTTTGAGCTTGACTGGTGGTCAAATAGACTTCAATATGATGAACTTGATGATGAACGTTGTATTTAATGTTCGAATGCTTTTTTTTTCAGCTCTTTTTTTCAGAAGCGAAATTTGTGCAGCTACTATGATTATTATAAAATTACTATCCTTTTAATATTAACTATGAATAAGCTTGACAAGAGCCTGAAATAATATCTATTATTATTGATTACGGCTTGCTTATGAATAAATAAATAAATAAATAAATAAATAAATATGTACAACAAAAAGTCATGTACAATATTTATAAATAGAAATAAAAATATTGTTTTTTTTATAAGTAGAAAATATTCGATTCGTGATCGCAATATGGTTGAGCTTGTAAAGAACCCATTTGCTGACTATTGAAAGGCTGGGCAATATTAAATAAAAACGGATGTGTGTGAATGTATGTATGGATACATCAACCGATTTCAATGGTTTAAAAAACATTCGATTCTCATTGACAGAAGATGTGCTAATTAGTTTTTGACAAAGGCAAAAACAAGCAGAAAGGCAGGTTCAGCCGTTTCAAAGATACCGAGCAAAATGTGCAAAAAATAGCAGTTTTCCAGAGAACAAAGCATCCAACTTGAATGATTCAAAAAACTTTTTGCTTGTGCTGACGAAACTATTGCTTTTAGAGAAAGCTTTTTCATTTTTTTTTTAATTTCCAAAAAAAAATTTCTTTGAACATCGAAAATAGTTCGTATTTTAATTTTAATTCTGGCTAAAGTTCTAAAGCTCACTAATATACTTCAAATAAATAATAAATAATTAAATAAATAAATAAATAAATATTAACTTTGCTATTCAGTTTATATAATTCTTATAAATATTAGACAATGTCCTTCATTTTAATTTTGGTTGATTGAGTTTTGTTTATATAATTTTATGTAAAGATATATAAGTTACAGTATTTATAATAATCTATTTGAAAACATTTAATTTTCCTCGAATATTTCATTACGGTACGGGAAGTTCCAGCAATTAATAAATGTATATAATTAGCATACAATTCATATAACACATAAATTCAATCAAAAATTGCTGGCGATTTGGTGACATACCAATGATTCCGACTGGTCTTCCGTTTGACTTCAAACGATTGCAATTCCAGTTCGCCTTGCGGTCGCAATAACAAGTCGCAAGACCAATCGCTTAGTGCTTGCGAGTTAAATTTCAAATAGAGTATTTAGAAAATCATTGTTTTTCACATGGGCAGTTATACGTTGTCTGTTCACGAGTTGGAAAACCATCCGCTTTGTTTGTGTTAACGTCAGACCAAAAAACAAAAAATGTGGTTTACCAAAGAGCACTTCAATGAAACGGATAATTTGCGGATTCACTTTTATTTACTTAGAGAAGTTCAACTAAAAACACTTTATTTTGTGTAATCGAAATAAATTCATTACTGTTGTGTAATAAAATCAAATTTTTCCTTTTCAAATATAAAACAAACAAAAAATTTCCTTTATCTTTCTCACGAAACCATCTGATGGCGAAACGGAGTTCGTCGGGTTTGCTAGTAAATTTATATAAAAAAGTGAGATCAGGTACACAGGAGGTTCATGGCAAAGCCCAATGGGGTCCACCACAATGCAAAAAAGTTTAGAAACCTATCGTTTTGGAGAACCAACTCCAAAGAAACAAACTCACAAGCCCAAGCTGATAAAAGTATCAGTTTCGATAAATATTATGTTGAGAAATAAAGCAATAAACATATAAACTAAAATATAAATATGTTGGTCAGATGTGAATCTTTTCGCCTTGATCTCATAACCATTGACGCTGCTTTAATCTGATAATCAAAAATAAAATTTAATCTAAATATCATACCTATAATTCATTAGATATGACTTTTTCTGCATCATTTTGCTGATCCATCGTGCTGTCGTCACCTGCAACAAAATAATCAATTCATAAAATTCAACTCTTGAAAGCCTTGATACTAGAAACTACTAAACAAAATTGATATTAGGTAAAAAGGGATTAATATAGCGATAATTAGCTGATAATAAAATCAAGATTTACCAGAAACCGGACCACACAGTTTTTTATGCGAGAAAGCGTATTATGCGAGAGAGAGACAATATGTTTCGAAGTTCAACTGTAGATGTATATTATGATGACGAGGGAAGTCCAGATTTGAAAATAACGTCCAAAATATAATAATTTATTTGTAAAAAATGCTAAAAAAGATACCAAAGTCTAAGTCATAAATTTCTAAATATCGTACAATAAATTAAATAATTATAAACAAATGAATTAGAGATGGTCAACAAATTCTATCAATTAGTCTTACAATGTCTTACAAGGCAGATGTGCTAAATAATGTAAAGGTTTACGTAAGCATGAGGGTAAGGGGTAAGAGCTTTGCTTACTTTTGCTGACAAGGGGGATGGGGGGGGGGGGGTAAATAATTGTAATAAATCAGCTTACGTAATACTTGAACGATCCCAAACACATAATATTACTTAAATCATTTTAATAGATCCACCTTTAATCATTATTTTGTTATTATTACTATTTGATTTAATCCAATGGACAATGTAAAACAACATTCTCATAAAGGGGCCGTGCATTAATCAGGTGATAGATTTTTAAGGATTTTTGGATAAAAATTAAATACAATAACCGAAAAATGGTCATAATTTCACTAAAGCTGTAGGTCGAACCTTAAAAGCTGAAAATTTCCAAAACAATCTGAGATACATTTTGTTTTTTAATTTTTTTAGGATAGTCAATGCTGTCGCCCTGTTTTGTCTTGGCGTTAAGTTCTGGGACACCTTGTATATTTGTGCAAAATTCTCAAACCGTCAGGATCTCAAAATTAAACATGTAAGAAGATCATGCCGAAAATTTTCATTTAACAATTTCACAAATTTAATAATAACAAGCACACCTTCAAAAATACATTCTCATCAACAACATTTTGATCTAGTTAATTATTTAATTATAACTGTTACTTGTTGTAGAAGCTATCTTTAAAACTACTTTATTTGCTTGTTTTTATGACATCAAAAGTTGTTGCTTTTCTTGCTTGTTTTTATGACATCAATATTTGTTACTTTTCTTTCTTGTTTTTCTTCTTGTTGTTTTGATTGAAGATTTCAAAAACGTTGGTAAAAATGTGTAATTTAATGTTTAATGTGTAAATTAGATATTTTTTTATGATATCAAAATTTGTTGCTTTTCTTGCTTGTTTTTATGGCATTAAAATTTGTTGCTTTGATCGAAAATGTCAAAAACGTCATGATAAAAACTGTGTAAAAAGGTGTAAGTTAAAGAAGCATTTTTTGACATCAAAATTTGTTGCTTGATTAAAAATTTCAAAAACGTCGATAAAAAAAGTGTGTAAATATAATGTACAATGTATAAATTAGAGATGATTTTTTATGACATCAAAAGTTGTTGCTTTTCCTGCTTGTTTTTATGACATCAAAAGCCGTTGTTTTTCTTGCTTGTTTTTATGACATCAAAAGTTGTTGCTTTTCTTGCTTGTTTTTATGATATCAAAATTTGTTGCTTTTCTGGCTTGTTTTTATGACATCAAAAGCTGCTGCCTCGATTGAAAATGTCAAAAATCTCATGATAAAAAAATGAGTAAAAAGTTCAAGGTGTAAATTAAAGAAAATTTTTTCGACATGTTGCTTTAAACACGTCTTGATAAAAAAATGTGTAATTTGAAGTTCAACGTGTAATTATAAAGGAATTTTTTATGACATCAACATTTGTTGCTTTTCTTACTTGTTTTTATGACATCGAAATTTGTTGCTTTTCTTATGACATCAAAATTTGATGCTTTGAAAATTTCAAAAACGTTGATGAAGTGTGTAAATTTAATGTTCAACGTGTAATTATAGAGGATTTTTTTATGACATCAAAATTTGTTGCTTTTCTTATGACATCAAAATTTGTTGCTTTTCTTATGACATCAAAATTTGTTGCTTTTCTTGCTTGTTTTTATAAAATCAAAATTTGTTGCTTTAATTAGAAATGTCAAAAACGTCTTGATAAAAAAAATATGTAAATTTAATGTTCAATTTGTAAATTATAGAGGACTGTTTTATGACATCAACAACAGGCTTTGATTAAAGATTTCAAAGACATATTGATATTCTTTTTTTGTTTAAATATTCTTAAAATTCAATAGAGACATTGTTGACATTTTTGACATTTAATATTATATATGTTAACATATATTAAAACGTTCATACTCAAATTCATCAAGCTTAGTAAATTTTGATGTTGAAAAATGATGAAAACATGTTAAGTCAATTTTAATGTTGAAATATGTGAAATTATGCAATGACTATATAAATGTTATAATAATGCAATATCTACATAAACGTTAAAATGTCTACATATATGTACTTGTATGCTGTAACATATTTTATTAATATTAATCATGGGGTATCACATTTTTATGATTTGAAAGTATGTATTTTTACTAATTTGTATAAATCCATTTTTGTATGTGTCATTAAACTTCTCAGGAATTATAAATTGTTATTCTGTAATGCATTGACTGATCCTGCGACGGTTGTTTAGAAAATACGAATATACTTAAAACATTTTACTATTTGCACATTACATACATTATAAATAATATTTATACACGAAACATATTTAATGTTGAAGAAATAAATTTAGTGAGAAATGTTCGTGCAAACTATGTCAGTATAATTAAGGTAGTAATGGAAGACACCAATGGTTTTTATCCATTGATGATGACATGAAGGTATAGATCGAAACTTATGGAAATGTAATGGAAATATGAAGATTCTTAAAATATTATTGATTGTTTATTTAAAGTGGTAACTTTGAAATAAATGTATATAGATACACGGATATATATATATATATATATATATATATATATACAAATATTTATATATATACTTATATATAATCTGTCATGTTTGAAATAATATTCATAATGTCAATGTGTTTAAATTAATTTCGAGTTGGTAGGTTTACAAGAATTCGATATCAAATCTATCTCCATTCATATTGCAAGAAATAACTATACACATATGATCTTTAAGACATCACAGAGATGTAAAGTTCACACTGACAAAGCCTAGTAGAAAATCATATTACTTACCTAAACTTTAGTTTAATCCTCATGAGAAATATACACTAATATAGTACGAAACATATAGTTCACAAATAACACGAGGATTCATAGAACAAACACTTGAGAAATGCACTGATAGTAATGGCCATATCCAAACTACAGAAGAATGCACATTTTGATTTCACTTCACTACAGGTCATTAGCAACAATCCTGGCACCAACAAAACACGATAAACATAACTATCATGTTTTAAACTATAGTTTTGTTGTTATTTTGGATCGAGGTGTGTACAATTTCATACAAAATATTCGAGAAAACACATTAACTTAAATTCTTGTCGCTTGTCGGCCATTTTGATAATGCACAGTGTTTCTTGAATTCACTAACCTGCCACAGGGTGCGTTCACATCGCTCGTTCGCCGTGCCGTGCATGCCAGTGTCAATGATCGCTTCACGTGCGAGGATTTACATTAGCGCCACATTTTTAAAACCAAAACGGATAAATACCAATCAGCTGGTCTCATATGATAATTGAAAAATGAAAATTAATTATTTAATCAATTCGTATTTAAAACATTTGTCTCGCAATAAAAACTTCGTACTAAGGACAATTTAGATGTTAATTCCCATGACATTAAATAATAAGGCCAACACGTTCACATGAAATTTGAATTTAGGTTTGAAGATATTGTGGACGTATCAGTTTTGCACTAGAGCCTTTTATACTTTTTTTTTCTTAATTGTTATTAAAAATAATATATATTGCATATCTCTATAGTGCATACATTTGCATTTATTCAAATATATAATAAAAAATAGTAGTCTGCCAGAAGGCAAGTCCATGAAGTGAGAGCGCCACAAATAAATAATTCCCTTTCCCTTTCCCTCCCTTGTTTATATTGATATTTTTCTGTCATTTTGCTATTTCATTACCACTATTCACTTTTTGTCCTGTAGGTACTTCGGATTTTAGTTCCCTGTATTTTTTCTAAATAAATCATCAATCATGTACATTCTTCTTCTTGCCAGTTCTTTTAGTCCTTCTATTTTACCTTCGACTACATGATGTACATAATTAACAAGTATAAACGTTTAATGGTCATTACTATATTTAGAGAGACTGTGTTTTAAAACAAACGCTGAATTTGAAGCACACTAGCACCATCTGTTATATGCTGAAAACACTCATACAGTGTAAAGCGGATGTGTTCTAACTTTACCCATTTTTCGCAGAATGCGTCCAATCATAGACAAATAAACATGGGTCTAAATTTTGTGTCCTTTCTTTTTAATGATCTTGCTCAGTAGAATTCTTTCTTCGATCACTCTTCTCACCATTTCATTTGGTATTATTATATATGTCCACTTTATCTTCGCCAAATCAATAATTCCCTTTCCCTCCCTTGTTTATATTGCCATTTTTCTCCCATTTTGCCATTTCATTGCCATTATTCACTTTTGGTCCTGTGCTTCGGTTTTCAGTTCCCTGTACTTTTTCATCTCGCATAAATCATCAATCGTGTGCATTCTTTTTCTTGCCAGTCCTTTTAGTCCTTCTATTTTACCTTCGACTCCACCATTATTACATTATATTGTCTAGGGACTACACCATGCACATAGATAAACAAGTATAAAAAAGTCAAGTCAAAAACATATATATTTCAACAAATATAAACGTTTAATGTACATGTACCATATTTAGAGAGATTGTGTTTTAAAACAAACGCTAAATTTGAAGCACACTAGCACCATCTGAATACTAGTTATATGCTGAAAACACTCAAAGTGGATTTGTTTTAAGTTTACCCCCATGATCATGTAGGAGGTACACTTTTTGCAGATTGGGTCCAATCATAGATAAATAAACATGGGCCTAAATTTTGTGTCCTTTCTTTTTAATGATCGTACTCAGTAGAGATCTTTCTTCGATCACTCTTCTCATCATTTCATTTGGTATTGTCTTCAGCACCACATTTCAAAACTCTCCAGATTGTTTCGGCTTTTCTTAGAGTTCATGTCTCTGATTCAAACACAACTAATCTCCAGACTGTATATACATTTTATTCTACTTTAACTAGATTAATATATTTATCTCTTTGATCATATTCATTTATCTTTTCAAACATTCAAATGTATAGTTCGTTGTATAACATTTGTCTAAATCATCCAATTATCTAATAATCTTCATTTTCTTCATATTATTATTTTATCTTTATTTTTGAAAAAAGAAAAACGACAGGAAAGTCAGAAGTTTTTGTATTTTTTAAGTCATTTTTTCCTACAGTTTTTTACTTGCCCATTTCAGGACAGGTGTAAAAATTACTGTATATTAAAAGAAAAAATCTTTTCTTTGACATTGTTCTCAGTTTGGTCATCTTTATATCCTTTGGAATCCTACCAGATCATTTATTATAATATATGCAGATTATATTAAATATTCTGGTAGCACTCCATATAAAATTTTTCTTTCATTTTGTGAAATTTACATATAAGCATTTGTTCAATTACAAATATCTTTGTATTAATTACACTTTTTAAAGAAATATAAATCCCACCTAAATACCCTCAAATAATAAGGTCACCATGGCATGCAATTTTAGTTTGAATCCATGACCCAGAAATCTAATGAGAAGAATATATTTAAAAGACAGAAAATCAATATTTTTCATTTTTTTAAACAGCAATCTGAACTTAGAAGTCGTACGAACTGTTGTGATGATTTTTCTTGATTGCATGGCTCTTCATATGGTAACCCAATGCTTTGTCTAATTTCTATTTGAACTATTTGAAGTGTTTTATTGTTAAATTTTCTCTAATAGTGATGATTTTAAATTTGATGCAGCAATGCCTCGGGGAAGGGCTATTGTTATTTTGAAACTTATTGCCATTTGAAAATCAATATGATGAGAATAGCTCATCAATTAATAGCGAATGACAGAATGTTTGAAATTCAGTTATTTCAAATTCTCTACCTACAAAAAGTGCACATCTTCCTAAAATGATTTAAAAAATACAACAAAACCTGTAATCTACAAATCAAATAAAACGATATTATAAGTTTATAATCTTATATTTAAGTTCATAATCCAGGTAGCTACCTCAAATATGTCATATCTAAATTTATTTACCGTTTATTAGCTGTGAGATCTATTTTGTGATTGATGGAGATATGACGCTTCAGTTTGGACTAGAAACTTAAGGCAACTTTTACATACACAGCTTGCAAAAATATCTTGTCCTAAAAAATAATCTAATACCTGATACAAACAATTGACTGTGGATGACCAAATACTGCTTGGAATTAATTTTAAATAAGGACTTTTTTAAACAATACATGTTTCTCACAAATTTATATCAAATGCAACGATTGATATTTAAAATTTTTGTATCTATTATAATTTAATTATAATCATGTACTACTTGTAAAACGTACAAAAATCCAGTGCAGAGATCTAATCATTCTAACTTAATACTTGTTTGAAAGATTTAAAATCTATTACCTTCAAGATTTATAATCAAGTTTTTGTTGTTTTCTTAAAACACTTATCAAGCGATGACTCAGTATGATTTACAAAAAGTTCTTGTACTTTAAATAACTCGGAAGGTGTCAGCTGATGTGAAGTGATATAATTCAAATATTCACAATACTCGAATGCTCTTTTTTGGTACGAAAATAGTGGACTATGCAGGGGTTTAATTTTTGCTTTATAAGCACAGATTCCTAAAAGACAACAATAATTTAATTATAAGTCAATGGTGAATTACTAACAAACGGTACTCAATATGATTAAATTTACTATTAATAATTAATAAATTTACTATTGGATATGTCCTAAATTGATAGAATATTTACCTGTAATGTATATATCTTCTAAATGAAATATCGGTGTAACAAGAGCTGTTTTATACAAAGTGTTTGCAGTCTCAATAGACATAACATAACCTGTTCCTGATAGATACGGTGGGTAAACCTTTCCACTATACATGTACTGTGGAGAATACCTGGAAGCATCATTATTAGTATTGATATAAAAATCTATACAATAATAATTTAGCTAACGTTACTAGTACAAATACCAACCATTTATTTGCACTATCTGCAATCGGCTTGGCTCCTTTTATTAGACTACCCATCAGCAAATGATTACTTTTGTTACTATTAAAACTAGAATTGCTGGCAAGATTGGTGTTACTTGTATTCTTCAAATTCAAGCATTTCAGTTCATAAATTAACTTATTAACATTAACAAACATATCATCATCAACCTTCATTAAGTATTGAACTAAAAATAATATTAAATTGATTAGTAAGAGTTAGTTCTTGGAATTAAATTTTTTTTTAATTACTTTGTACATATACTTTTGATAATTTCATAATCTTAATATTTACTACTACTTAAGTTTACTTATATTATTATTAAGACCTCAGATTCACCTGCATGTGAACAATGAGAAGACACCCATTTTAACATCATGACTGATTTCAACGTGAGATTATTATAGCTATCAATGAAGTTTTCTTGTATGATATCTTGATATTGTTCGCTTTCTATATCGACTAGATGTTGCAATTCAAAATCAGTATCATTATCAATATGTGGTTTGCCCAATAAAAATAAAACTTTAACATTAACACTTAAATTAGAATTTAATTCATCACATTTATCTTTCAAAGCTGCATCCTTGACGCCCTTAGGGGTCATTTCATCTTTTCTATTTCTTTTACTACTTGCATGATAAATATTACTATAATACCTATATAAGGTACCCCAGTCATTTGGAATAAAAATATTATCGGTACTATTATTATCACTGGCCACAGAAGTTACATTTATATTATGCAACTTTAAAGCAGCTATTTTTTTAATATAAGCTGGATAATCCAACTGGTTTATATTTCCCCATGTTGATCTTATGGCTTTTCTTTCCTCAAAGTTTTTGACTGCCGAACAAACAACTATCATTAAAAAAATAGGCCCATTGTCTACAAGCTGTGTGCAGACTGAAATAGGTTCATGCAGAGCAGTCAAATTTGGTTTAACATATGTGCTCAGCTCACGAGATGTATTGTAACTCCAGCCAGGTATTGAAGCTAGAAATATATTTAAATTATTAAAAAGAAATTTACATATTTTGGACTTAAGGTGTAATGTTATAAAAATTGCTAAATTAAATAATATAACCATGCAACACCATATTGTTTTATATAGTTCATTAAAAATTTTGGTATAAAATAAATACATCTATAAAATCCACAAAAAACGGAATCAAGTCAGAATATAGGAATTTACACAACAACCTACTATATGTATGATTAAGATAAAAATGTATGCATTACATAGTTGAAAATGCAGAAAATAGTTGAGAGATAAAGAATATACTAGGATACTCAACATACAATAAGTTTTGATCAAAATAGTAAATACTTGAAAAGGTACTAAAGACGTTCTATATTTGTTGATTCAATTTCAGAACCAATATTATAAATTTTATTACCAATAGAGAAATAATATACAATTTATATTCAAGCAAAAAATATACTAATATCATACCACAATAATGATTCAAAATCTGAATATTTAGCATTCATCACATCACCAACCAACTACAGTATAATTTTATGCAACAATATAAACAATTTTTTGCCAACTAAACAATTTCATTACTTTCTTAAACATATAAGTAGCAGACTTAAGATACAGATATCCAGGTATAAGTACTAAAAGTAATCAATAAAAATAGAACTAAAAGTAATCACAAGAAAGTTTTCAGTGATTTAATTGGACAAAATTTTCACAGACGCATAGATTTTCTGCTGCGAGAATACATGGGTAGAAACAGCTGATATACAACATTGTATGTAGTAAGATGTTACATGTCGTAATCCTGGTTCAAAAATCGACCAAATTGATTTGAAACTGGCTAGTATATCTTTTGAAGACTACAGAAAAAAAGATAGAACACAGTAGAATTAAGATGCAAATTATAAAACAGTAGAAACAAATGATCATAGGATTGATAAACAATGTTTGTAAATAGCAAATTAAGATAAAAAAACTATATCAAGTTCTGTGAAATATAAGTGGCATTTTGCAATCAACTTAATTGCATTCGACTTAACAAAAACTGAGTATTAGCAACTTTGAAAATTGTTACAATAACATTTTTAACTGTTTATTTCAAAAATAAAGTTTTCCAAAAAATGCAATTTCCAATTGATATCTCACAAACAAACTCATAATATCCATAATTATAGTGCAAAACTTACATGCTTGTATATTTTATAAGTGGAACTCATTACTCTGATGTCGAATTAATTTTTATAATTAAACCACTTTTCATATACTTCTAATGTTCTAGAATGTTTAAAACAAAATATTTTTTTTTAAATTATGAAAAGACAACCTGTGTGATCTTTACCATTTATGAATTTTCTTCAAACTTCTCCTTCAAAGAGTTGTTCAAAATGAATAAATTAATAATGTTGTGTTGTTAGTAATCATGCAAGTCACAACTTAAGGCCTATTCAATTTAACTAAGTCGAAGAACCCGCACAGCTAAAGCTAAGCAATGCATACCTACAACATCCAATGATGCAGATTTGGTATTCTCACCTATCCTCGACGGCATAATATGGTGATACACTGGTATATATAGCAATAGCAATATTGCCAGTGTCACCATGCACATTAATAAATACCTCTTGATACGAATATTGAAACCATTAATGTGCTTGTTAGCAAACTGTTGACCACATACATGGACAGTAGGAACAGATATTCCTGAGCTGCAATCATTATAGTTGTTGGATCTATGAGTTCGATAACTATTGCGAATGAGTAATGTGTCTTCTGATTGTAAATCAAATCTCTCCATCTAAAACATTTTAAATTGTAAATAACACATTTCAGTTAAAATAAATAAAACCAAACATGACAATGTAGTTGACACAAAGATCAATAATTAAAATTACTATACATT